CACTAATTGGAGCACAACGCACAGAGAATTGCTGTGAGAGGAAGATTTACTACTGTATCACTTAATATTCACACCCGATGCGGATGGGAGTTTCTTTGGGGTTTTTTTTTGGAACTTTTATATGTTTGCACAATTATTGGGAATTTAATATATAGATTGTTTTACACAATTTCACTGTATACACAGTTTCATGGCATTGTATATGTGCTATTTTAGCACTATTGTCGTTTAGGCACCATGTATTTACTTATTGGTTTACTTGGGAGTCACTGGAGAGGAGGGATATAATTGCCAGTCACAGGGCATTATGGCACATGCACATTTGTGGGGGCCCTTTGTGTAGTAGGGAGTTCATTCATTTATTTAATTAATTATTTAAAGTAGTTTTTGGGAGAGGCAGCGCAGCAATTTTTATATTTTAATTATTTTGTGTCCATAACAATTTGTTAATTTCTTAAAATGTGCACTTTGTACTAACAAATTATGTAAAACCCCCAAATAATTATATATATTTTGTGAATGCAGATACCATGTAGAATAAAATAATGGCAGATGCAATTTTGTATTTTGCACAACATTTGCGTACATGTTTATCAAAACTAATTTCAGAAAAAAATACACTTTTTGAATTTTAGTGCACAGAAACACAATAGGATATCCAGCTGCCAGTGATTACACAATGCATTGAATGTCATGTGTAAAGCTTCTACATGTTGGTCTAATAAATTGATATTGTAGATTTTGCAGCTTATGTGTATCCACTGTAAAGCTTATTGTATATACTATGAATGATTATAACTAGTGAAGACAAAAATCAGAAAAAAAAAACCTATGGATTGTAGGAATGAAAATGAATACATTTTATTCTCCATTATTAGGTGCAGTCTTTTAACACAAAAGTATTTGTGAATAAAATTTAAGCTAAAAATGCTATATTTTAACACTCTTGCTGTCCACGTACAGTATTTGGGTCTTTGCTATGGTGATTTTTATTATGTTTTCCTATTTTAACCATTCTAATTTTCTATAATTCCTTGTCTAGGTACAGATACACTGTGAACATTTTGATGCTTTGTGCCTAGTACTGTCACTTTTAAGCTTCCTATCTGATGTATTCTATTCTTAGAGAATTAAAATGAAAATGTGTTTTATTTGATGCTGTTAGAACAATGATATTTTAAACCAAATTCTGTCCAAATAACAAAATACATAAATATGATGCAAACTGTCTTAGGTAGCATTTGTGATTCTGATTAGCCACCTTTTGAAATTCACAAACATCTACCACACACCATAGCTAGAATGCTCTATGACTGTTAAGAAAAAAAAGCCATGTCACTTCCCTCCTGGAAGCATGTTCACGGCATTGGTACTGGGGAATGCAGTACAGCTTAGTCAATCTGAGTTCTACCATGCAGGAATTTACATGAATTCATGTTCTTCAGACTTCTGTAATATGAATTATTTTTTTCTGTCCTAGGATACACTTGGTGTCTGCCTCATCAGCTATGTCCATCCGGGGGCTGAAGAAGAAAAAGCAGCAAAAGACATTTAAGGTTAAGGTTGTAACAATGGAAGCTGAATTGGAATTCAGTTGTGAGGTTCGTTTTAAAGCCTTGTCTAGTTATTTAGGCATATATTGTTGGCCATTCATGAGCAACAGATAACTCGTGATAACAGAGATATCCACATTTAAATATCGAAAGTATATGACATTGATTATATTTTAGAAAACTGTCAATATGGGGCCCCCTTCATTTAAAGGCCACACATTTAAAGGGATACAAAAATAGAGTTTTGGCCCTTCCATCTCCTCTTTACTAAGTCATGCGTGTTATTGGTGGGGTTGGACACAAATACAGTAAAACTCCCACTTACTCTGAATAATCCTAAAGAACAGACAGCAAGTTATTCAGGTTGTTTGGTGTAGAAGATAAGATCATCTGCATATTAGCAGCCCACACAGTTACAATTAGTGACAGCCTTAATAGATTACAGATAGAGATCTAAACCAATCTGCACTTATAAACTAAAAGAATCATTTTGTGTTGGTTCAAATTTTTCTTTCAATGAAATTGATAGGATTAAGATAATAACAGTAGATGTGCATTTATTGTTTGCTCAGTATTTGTTATACTTGAATTTTAAATTAGATTTTGATGACCTCTCATGCCCCATTCACACGAAGAGTCCGATCAGGTCGGCTTAGCAGTTTTTCAGGCAGACCTGATTGGACGGTCCATTCACCCCTATGGACTGGGGGGTGTAAATGGACTTGCGTTGTTTACACCCACCTACCTTCAATCCGATCCGGTCTGCTAAAGAAAAGAGGAAGGGGATCCATGGATCAGATCGGTGGGCAGTCAGGTGTAAACAGACAATGGAGTCCGTTTACACCTGGCCACTCATAGAGCAGAGCAGGCTGTGTCCGTGTCCACTCTGCATAAACTGAGTAGACACAGACCTGTCATCCATGCTGCTGATCCCTGCTGATCAAAACAGAGTCAACCCTGTGTGAAAGGGACCTTATGTAGAAAACTCTGAGTGTCTAAAAAAAGTTAGCTCTGATTTACTGCTAATGTTTTGCACATAGGCACATTATTTGTCTTCTATTGTAAGTCATTTAGAGATGGAAAATTAGATGCAACACGCAATGATTTGTGTACATACACATGTTTATTATTTATTATTTATTTCAGGTACTTATATAGATCACCTGCCCCAGTGCCCACCTTTATGTCACGATGCATATATGACATTTTATAAAGCTTTTGTCCTTTATTAGGACTGACAGCCAAATGAGCATGGGAATGTTAAATGCAGAAAGGTGGAACAAATATTACCTTAAAGTGTTACTAAACCCACAACAGTAAAATCAATCTATATATGCAGTAAAGCATACTTGTTACACTGACTGTCAAACCTAAGGGGTTAATCCTCTGCACTGTGTAAAAACACTGTTTGATCGTGTCTTCTTTGATCCTCCTCTTCTTCCAGTGTCTCCCTCTTATCTCCTGATAGGACATATCGTGCAGAGTCACTCTACACATGCTTAGTTTGGAGTTTATTGCTAGAGAGGGTTTTTTTTTTCTTTGGAGAGAGCATGTGATTAGCACAGGGCCAATCAGCACTTTCCAGACAGAGGTCAGGGGTTCTGCATCCTCCTAGAGCAAAATGAAAACTCCTCCTACAAGCTTTAACATGTGCTCTGCTGGACACTGATAGAAGTCACAAGACTGCTCTAACTGCTGATGAGAAAAGGTATTTAGCAGTTTATATTTACTAAAATAATTGCACTTCCATGTTCCGGGTACTGTGCTTAAAGCTGCCTTTTTCTCAGTACATTGCAGTGCAAGGGAACAACACCCAAGTCTGGTTCCACTTACAGGGAAATTACTTGTCCTTCTTTCTTCCTTTACTTGCATTAATCCTTTGAGGGACTGTTACCTTCATCCCTCCCTACTTGTGCACTAACTGGGCCCCAACAAGTGCGCAGAAGATTCCTCACTGCATTCCAAGGGACATTGACTACCCTGTTCAAAGAGCTCTTTTGAATCTCAGATTTAAACCTTGCCATCGGATTCTGAGGGCCCAAAGTGAGCTAGTTCAATCTTTGGTAGTTTTCCTCGCTCACTGGGCATTAGAAACACCTCAGATTGGAGATATTAGGTAAACTTCTGAAAATCAGGCTTGCTAACACTAATTGAGATTCTGCAGTATGTATATTTTCTTTGCTTAAAGTTGTTAAGAGTGACAATTGCTATTACACTCACCTATACTACATTATGCTGTTTAACAGAGCTTACATTGAAGTCTAATATAAACATCATACTAGTTTACTCTAGTCTGTGTCTGAGTCTACTTTCTGGTGCTAATTTACACTAGTTAAAAGAGTACTGTGGTGCCAGCAGGGGTTGGGCTTTCAGAAAGGGGTACAGAACGACAGGAAGCCCGAAAATAACTCAGCAACTCCTAAGGGGGTAGTACTACACTTCCATTACATGAACAATATTGGATTATTGGGGACTAAAACACTTATCCAAAGTAGCCTCTACAGTGATGGAGCTTGTATATGTTAAAAAAATCCTCAACAACCCACCTAACAGGGCTTTCTTCCACCCCCATGCCCCATAGCAGCCGTGTGGGCTGCTATGGCTGCTGTCTATGCCTCTGCTTGGATCAGTTTTTTAAATTTCCTCTTTGTAAAACTACTTACATTTAAACTATTCACTCCAGGGGGAAGACTTGCTGCTCCAGCAGCTTCTGCAGTAGAGCTAAGCAGGCAAGTAATGTGGTTTCTGCATATCCCCCCTGCTCTTGGTGATGCATGTTACATTATATCAGTGTTTCTCAACTCCAGTCCTCATGAACCCCCAACAGGTCATGTTTTCAGGATTTCCCTCAGATGAAACAGCTGTGGTAATTACTAAGGCAGTGAAACTGATCAAATCACCTGTGCAAAATAATGGAAATCCTGAAAACATGACCTGTTGGGGGTCCATGAGGACTGGAGTTGAGAAACACTGCATTATATGAACAAGAACAGGACATTTCTGGATCTGCTTTGGAAGCTGCTGTGACAACATATCTTAACATGATCATTTTTGTTTTATTGTAAGTATTTTGACATTATTGTAATAAAACGAAACATAGAGCTAAAATGGCACAGCTAAGGAGGGGTACATGAAGGGAAAGGGGGATTTATAACAGCCAGAAGTAGAGAGCATCCACTAGAGCAGTGGTCTCCAAACTATGGTCCTGGGGCCAGATGTGGCCCTTTGCCTGCTTTAATCTGGCTCGTGGGCCCTTATTCCCCCCACTGTCAGCAACAGTGGGGCATAGTTCCTGCCACTGCCACTGACAACGGGCTCTATTCCTCCCACTCACACCAATGATAGGCCACTTTTCCTCCCACTCACACCAATAATGGGGCACGATTCCTCCCACTGACACCATTAATAGGCCACTATTCCTCCTACTCACACCAATGGTGGGGTACGATTCCTCCCACTCACACCAATGATGTGGCACGATTCCTCCCACTGACACCAATGATGGGGCACTATTTCTCCCACTGACACCAATGATGGGGCACTATTTCTCCCACTGACACCAATGATGGGACAATATTCCTCCCACTGATAACAATGATGGGGCACTATTCCTCCCACTGATACCAATGATGGGGTACTATTCCTCCCACTGATACCAATGATTGGGCACTATTCCTTCCAGTGATGACGATGATGGGGCACTATTCCTCCCACTGATGACAATGATGGGGCACTATTCCTCCCACTGATGCCAATGATGGGGCACTATTCCTCCCACTGATACCAATGATGGGGCACTATTCCTCCCACTGATGCCAATGATGGGGCACTATTCCTCCCACTGATGCCAATGATGGGGCACTATACCTCCTACTGACACCAATGATGGGGCACTATTCCTCCCACTGATACCAATGATGGGGCACTATTCCTCTCACTGACAATAATGATGGGGCACTATTTCTCCCACTCACACCAATGATGGGGCACTATTCCTCCCACTGATACCAATGATGGGGCACTATTCCTCCCACTGATACCAATGATGGAGAACTATTCCTCCCACTGATACCAATGACGGGACCCTATTCCTCCCACTCACACCAATGATGGGGCACTATTCCTCCCACTCACACCAATGATAGGGCACTATTCCTCTCACTCAAACCAATGATGGGTCACTATTCCTCCCACTCACACCAATGATAGGGCACTATTCCTCCCACTGATACCAATGATGGGGCACTATTCCTCCCACTGATACCAATAATGGGAAACTATTCCCCCCTAATACCATGTTCTGCTCCCGCTGGTCATAGTCCGACCCTCCTAAAGTTTGAAGGACAGTGAACTGGCCCTTTGTTTAGAAAGTTTGGAGACCCCTGCACTAGAGAATTGCTTGACATCACTATTAGAGGGCACAGAAGTCTAAGTTTTCAGCATCTTGGCATCAGCCTTATATAAACTTTTCTCAGATTAAACAACCAGATTGAATCACTCATGTTCAATTAAATTAGCTAGTCTTTATAAATCGAATGACTTTTAACAAGGAAACAATACATTTTGCATTATATAGTTGGATGCACAGGTATTAGGTAAAATGTCAACAATCACATTAAAAAACATTAATGTAGCAATAACGTGTTTACATCCTCAACTCTCTATGACTAATACAGGTGTTTTTATGCTTGTCTTTCATAATACAATATAACCTGTTGAAACATGTGAAGATGTTGGTACAGTAGCTGGGCCCTGAAGGCATGACAGGTTAGAGCACAAGTGAAAAGACATAATGGTTCATATTACACTAATCTTTGTTTGCCAGATTATTAGTATAGTGTCATGCCACAAGAAAAGCGACATTAAAACTCTCACCTGTTTTGTAGGGATGATACACATGCTCAGACTTGAAAACTGTGTTAATGCACAGTATGATGCAGTCATTCTCACTGTGCTTCAGCATCTTTAGGTGAATAACTTCCATCAGGTTATATCCTTAACCCTTTGATGCCAACTGCACACAAATATGCGGCAAATTAGAAAATACATATGTGCTGAGAGCGCTTGCCCTGCACATTCCCAGCACATATGTCCGCGACTCCCAGAAAGGTCCCGATCTCCCCTTTCGATCAGGACCTTTTCCGATCATGTGACCGCTGTGACTGCGAATGACGGCGGTCACATGACCCTAAAACCCCACCCCCCTTTTGAAACTCTTAAAGGGCCGGGGGGCGCCAGCGCCAAGAGGTTAACCTTATAGATGAGCTCCAAGCACCCAGCTTCCTGCTATAAATGGTTTCTAAGGAAGCAGTGGGTGCCTGCAACCACTGCATCATTACCAACCACTGACTTCATCCAGCCCATTCATTTACAATGCCACTTGAACATTTGGGCAATGATATCAGCACTATCCCTGCCCTTTCCATTATTTAGCTTGCACACTTACCGACCAGCCTACAACACAGTTGAATTAGCCCTGTCTAAAAACAGTGTTAAAAACAGAGGGTTTTGTTTGCACACATTTGCAAAATATATGCGTAAGCCACAGTGCTCATGTCAAGGGATCTTTGTATATACTGTGGTCCTAACAGTTTCAGTCAAGGGCTTATTAATACCTTTGTCTGTTCACTTTGGATGGATCCTTAACAATCCTCAATGCACCAAAAAAAGTTCCTGCACTACTTTTTGGCAGTGCAGTGCACCATAGCATACATGCTTTTACTGCATATTGCCATGTAAAATGAATGCACATATACCGCATGTTTAATGTGCCTTGTGGTAACACATGTTAAAACATTACTGTAGCCCTATTCACCCATGTCCATATTCATGCAGCAAAACTCATGCATTTTGCTACATGAAAATGCATTTCAAGCAGAACTCACATACATTTCTAAAAAAACTATATAGGCCCATTCACACCTACATGTGTACATTACCACATAGGCTGCAAAGGACACTGAGCAGTGCAAATTCAGCCTTGCAACTTGTAAAATAAATATTTAAGATTTATTAAAAAGTACCTTCACTTTTTTTTACAATATAAACATTTTCTTTATTTCATGTCTTGCTCCAGGTTAAGTAAAAAAAGTACTATACAAAGGGAATGACAGGCGCATAATGTAGCAGTCCATGTATATAATTGATAGAATGAGTTCAAATATGGGCAAGGGCGATCCAGTGTGCACTAGGGCAAGCTGCGATGGAGTGAAGCAAACTCTGGAGTAGAAGAAACAAAGAACACAGTGCCTCTAAGTGTAAACTGTATAACACATTTAATAAAAAAGTAAGCTTAACAATTCACATCTTGAACAATAAAAACAGGCTCATAGGGATGTGTTGTGGTACGTCTGTCGCCAGATGTTAATGCTGTTCCAGAGAGGAGTGGACCCTAATTGGTCAGCAAGAGGCGCAACACTGTAAGGCAAGGATGGTGAAGCCTGGCTGGGTCTCCACTATGTCTGGAGGTTTACACATTGGGCGTCTGACGTCATCGGATTGCGACACGTTTCTGAGCATGAGCGGGACCAGCGTCGTCCGACGTGCTCTTTAATCAGGCAAGGTGGAACAGGCAACCTGTTCCACTTTGCCTGATAAAACAGCGCCGGTCGACGCTGGTCCCGTGCATGCTCAGAAACGCGTAGACATAGTGGAGATCCAGCCAGGCTTCACCATCCTTCCCTTACATTGCAGCGCCTCCTGTTGACCGATTAGGGTCTACTCCTCTCTGGAGTGGTGAAGGTAAGCTGCTTCAGGTGACTGGTTGTACAGCACTAAGAAAGCTTGCGGTAGTGACAAGTAAAGTACGTATTACTACTTATTCCTCTTCCCCTAGACCAGGGGTGTCAAACTGGCGGCCCTCCAGCGGTTGCGAAACTACAAGTCCCATCATGCCTCTGCATTTGGGAGTCATGCTTGTAACTGTCAATCTTGCAATACCTCATGGGACTTGTAGTTTTGCAACAGCTGGAAGGCCACCAGTTTGACACCTGTGCCCTAGACTAAACAAGTGTTTAACATTTTTAGTACGGGTGGGGGTTGTAGCAATCATGCACACAGAGATGGATGGGAACCTCCATTTTGGCAAAAGACCGTCCATCTTGTATAATTATCTCTCTCTGCCTCTTTCCTCATACCCCTCCCTCTCTGTTGAGTGACATGTGGTCGGTGTGTGTTTACAGAGATCACAGGCAACACACTCAGTGGGAGGGTTTCCTGGCTATAAAACCTCACTAGCTCGGTGCCCCTCTGTCTAAGAAACTCTTACTTGGAATGGGATCATAAAAGACATTCCAGATAAGTCATAATAAACTAGACACCACATTCAACATCCATTTTCCCCTATGATTCCATATCTTGGATTATGGAAGACTTACATAAACATGGAGCACATATTTGGACTGCTGACGTTAATACAAATTCCCCGGTATATTATACCCCCTATCTGACATATACCGGAGAGCAGAAAATGATATCTCCTGAACCATTCCAGCAAATATTTCATATTTCATATCTAACTGTTCAGCAGGTGATACTGCGTAATAATCTACTCGTGGATAGGATGTTGTATGTATCCAGGGTAAATTATGAACCATAATATAAGATATGAGAGTTCTTGGTCAGAACTCGCAGTCTCCACCTACCAACTCCCTCCCCAAATGAGGCGATTGGTTTACTGCTCCAGGGAGACACCCTGTGAGATTACTAGAAAAGCTAACCTAGGCTGAGTTGAGTGGTGTGTGAAGAGTTGAAGATATCCCTGCTTTAACTTTGAAACTAACAGTGGTAGATCAAAGCATCCTTTTGGTTCTGAAACTTGGAAGCTGCTGAAACCAAGGCTGACTGGCAAGTACTTTAGCTAAATTCCTTTCTGTTATCTCTTTGCTGTTGTATTGTTCTCTGTATATTTATATATATATATTGGCTACATCTTTTTCTGTAAAAATTTTTATTGCACCCTTTTGACCTTTTAGTAATAAATCTTACTTTCTAAAAGTGTTGAACTGTTTCTAAAGCCTTTAATGCAAACTAAGAATTCCTGCCTCTAAAGAGCGCTACTGTGTGTGTATGTTTTAAACTTCGGTATATGTCTGCCTGTGGTGACAGTGGTATACCGACGATTATTCAACCATCATAGTGTTATTGCTAATATTGCCGAGTTTCCCCTTTCTCTGTACAAAAAGGAGGTGGTGGCAGTGTGAAGGGTTAATTGCATAATTAACCTGACCCAGTAACAATCGCTCCCAGGCTGCCGGTACATTGATTGTGGTCCAGTGAGCTGGAAAATCTTTCTGCAGGGTGTAGCTGGGCGTGGCATTGTTACGCATGTGGCAGCGCGGTTTTAGATTGGCTAGTCCTTGGGTCACGAATTTGGTGAGAAGGGCTGGGGTCTGACGCCGCGATCGTCACAGGGTTGGGTTTTTTTTTTCTTTTTTACTTAAGTTTGGAGTTCAGCTTCAAAATGGTTGTAAAGGTTAAAGTTTTTTTTTTACCTTCATGCATTTTATGTATAAAGGTAAAAAAAAAAAACCTTCTGTGTGCAGCAGCCCCTACAATACTTACCTGAGCCCCATCGCGATCCAGCGGTGTGAACAAGAGCCTCGGCTCTCCATGGACTCTCCCTCCTCTTTGGCTGAGACAGCAGCAGGAGCCATTGGCTCCCACTGCTG